TAAATCCCCGCGGGTCATACAGGCGCGACGAGGCCACCAAAATATTTAAAAATCGGTGGTGCCCTGCACATCTGACGCAGCACATCACCTGAACTTTTGTGACCCCCAGTTTCCTCTCTGTTGGCACCGAAATAAGGTTTCCAAATGTGCAGGGGTCTGTTGGCAAGCGCACTGGTTCTGTATGTCAGTCCGTCAATAACCAGTACTCCACTATTAACATGAAGGGAGCACTGAATTGATTGTGTATGCCATGCGTAAATAAAACATTGTCGATTGATAAAGCCCCCTTCTGTATGAATTTAAAGCTCTTTTACACTTGGTGCCCGCTTCATGTTCTTGTGCACCCGCTCTTATTCAGTAGACAGTCTTGCATGTTTGATTGCTAGTTAACACCCATTAGAGAACAGTTTTTCAGCTGAATAGCACAAATAGAGCAATTGTGCAGAGCTAAAAGCACGAGCGCAACACTACTGGTGAATTTCCATGTTTTGTAAAGACAAATGAAGGCCTGTTGGTTCTTTTAACAACATAAAACCAAAACTAATGACTGACATTATGAGTGTAATGTTGAATAAAACTGCATTGAGTGTTGTTTATTGTTAGGGATCACAGCTTTACACAATGCTTCTAATGGCATTTGGCCACATGTTGGCACTACTTTTAGTAGTCAATACTTTAGGAAGCAATCAATCGGTCATGTCCGATTTCATACTCTGCTGGGTCCAGCCCAATGTAATTAAGTTGTCTCTGCTAGTTGTGGAGATATTTTATTCCATTTAAAAGAAATCAATGGTGCAACCCCATTACACTCACTAACTATGCTGTTGGTTGGTTTCATCTCCGGCCTGCTATTTAGGGGCATATCAGGCAAGCCCTATTTAACATAGTGAGCGAGTCTCTTTATTACATAATTTGATTCAGACTTGGCATGCTTTTAATGAATAACTGAATTAAATAGTTGAATATAGCCTTGGTATCTCAAAAAGAGAAGCACATCAGGTTAGATAGAATGCATTTCATGCTCCCTGATGATAAAAACAATCTTTCCAATTGCCTTCCCATATGATCATATTAATTAAAAAACATTGTATGCATTTAAACACCATCCTTTTTCCGGCCCAAATATAAATTGACATCTGTTGTTTAGCCATAAAGGTACAAAATCAAACATTATTGGAATTGTTACAATAATAAAATATATTACAAGCACTACTTGACTAGTCTGTTTTTGGAAGACAATTTCGTTTCGTTTTTTGAGCTTAATTAAATATTTATATTCTCTACATATACCGTTATACTGTACAGAGACATTGAGACAACAACTATTAATCTGATTCGTCGTGATACGTCAGTACGTCTGTCGTAGATGTGGTCAAAATAATCATAATCCATATATATGTGTGTGTGTGTGTGTGTGTGTGTGTGTGTACTGTTGTCATAAGATTGAAAGATGTTCTTATGTAAAATATATGATATTTTTCAGCATCATTACTGCAGTCGTCAGTGTCACATGATCCTTCAGAAATAATTTTAATATGCTGATTTGAATATGCTAATATGCTCAGGAGACATTTATTATTTTCAATATTGAAAACAATTGTGCTTAATATTTTTTTAGTATCATTTTGATGAGTATAAAGAATATTTATTTTTGAAATAAAAAATCTGTCACTTTTGATTTGTTTCATGCGTCTTCGTTGAATACAAGTATTCATTTCTTTCAAATAAAAAATCTTAATGACGCAACACTTTAGAAAGGCAGCGCAGATTATGTTCGTACATGTATTTCTACTACTAAAAATAGATTAGAACAAACTGTTTGCGGAAGGCAGGGGAATATCCCTGCTGGTGCCCGATCGGCATTTCTGTTAGTCAGGGCAAATAACTGAACTTTTGATGAACATTTAGTTGAAAACACAGCCCCAGACATGAGTCAATAGAGCTCTAAAAATAGCCCAGGATTAGATTAATACATATTCCAGGAATGAGTGTGTTGCACATTGATTTGATTCACAACCCAAATTCTGGTTTGTACTGGAAAGCTAGTCATAAATGTCCCTAATTGATGTAATTTGTCAACAGAGTGGAAAATCAGCCTCAAAGCAAACTCTTCACATCCTCAAATGCACTTTGAGGACTTACAGGTCACATCAGGTAAGATATTTTCAAAAACATGCATTGAAAATGGCAGATATTCAGTTTATTATAGCACAAGTGTGAGGACTAGAATAAGTATATAATAGGATCACTTAATGAAAGCCTGCTTGAACGATCAGTGAACTATTTTGTGCCATGTGGCTGGAGTTATTTGTTAAATTAAGAAGAACAGAATGAATAGGGGTCTGTATCAGTCCTTGTTTGCAGCAAACACACTGTATGAAGGACTTCAGTGAACACTGAAGTGCCATGAATATCATAGTAGCTCAGACAAATGAAAATTGATTTTTGTGAACTGAATATACCTGGAATGATCTGTTTAGACTGGCAAGAGCACTGTATCCATATTGGCTGGCAATCAATGATCTGTTTTGGAGAACCATCAGCTCATTAGAACTGAGGGGACAGAGGGACAGAGGACATTTGTTTTGGGATGCTTTCATGTGTGAACTCACTTTACCTTAAGCCAGGGGTTTTCAAATTGGGTGAATGTGAGCCTCCCCTGACAGTAGGTTAGGACAGCCGAGCCCCCCCCTTCCCCAAAATCCCACCCCCCGTAAATGCCATCTTTTGTGTGTTCCAGGCAATGATGAGTTTCAATAAAAACTGATAAAATGTAAATATTTTTTAATATTGTATTTGAAGACATTTTATTTCCACAACTTTTTTTTGCAACAGCAAATCATTTCCAACTTCATGCAGGCCTAATTGAGGCTACTTTTAAAATCACTGAACATCAGTAGGCCTAACCACAAGTCAACAAAACATGCTTAACATGTGTAATGCAATGAGTAGCAGTGCTTCGCCGATGTAATGGGGTTTGCCTGCCTTTGCTATACGTGACACGATAAGATGCTTCTGTCGCCTTGATGTTAATAGTGCCAAACAACTGTATTATGCTTTTTTGTGACTGCAAATCATCACGCTTCCTCTCAAAACACTCAACTGGCTTGTTCACTAAATTTGTGTGCCTAGTTTCAATGTGACGCTGAAGTTTGCATGGTCTCATGCTATCATTTGCTAGCACCTCCTTGCAGAACACACACTGCGGCAGAGGTGCAGCTGCGGACCCCAACTACTCAGGGTCATATTTCCTGTCTCCTCCCTTAATACTGACTTTTGTTGAATTGGGACAAGGAAACAATGCATTTTAAAGCTAATACACACACAGCGCAACGAGCCCAGGCCTGTGGTGAGAGAGTCTCACACACACACACACAATCTTTTTATGAATGAAGGCCAGTATCACTGATATTAATATAGCTACTGATGTCTCCATGAAAATGATTTCCCCAAAAAATGTTTTAAATTTTTTAGGCTTCAAAAAAATATAACAACTTTTAATTTAAGTTAACTTAAAACAATCCTCACTTAAACCCATAATAAATGTCATATTTACCTGTACCTTACCTGTCTAACAGGTATGAAATATATAGAAATTGAATAAGGTTATAAAACAGTACGCACTGCATAAATTATAAATAAAATATAGATTAATCCTTATTACAGCTACAAGCGTTCTTTAATGAAGAGAAGTGAGTAATTGTCTCTGTTTCATTTGTTCTTTGGTTAACTTTATGGACAGAGAGAATGAGTGCCGCTGTCACTTTAAGATCTGCCGCATCTCATTCTCTCACTACTCTTTACTTCTATTTAAGATTTTATTTAACTCATTTAAGACTGTTCTTGTGAGGATACTCGACAAAACAGACATTTTGGCATAAATGTGTGGGTTATTGTTCGTTCAAGCGCGAAAGAGAACTCGATACTGGCGCGCGTCTTTCTGTGCGTCCTGTGTGTGTGTGTGTGTGTGTGTGTGTGTGTGTGTGTCAAAAGGAATGCATTCACTGACAGCACGTTCTCTTTTGTCTTGTCGCGAATTAATGGTTTACAAGCATTTGCGTGAATAAGAGCGTGATCATATACAAAAATGTATCGCATGAGTAATTTAAAGGAATACTTTAAACCCTGCGATATTAATAGAGCTGCATACAGAGTTATTTTTTTCTTCGCGTGTCGCGCCTCCCCTGTGCCTCTTTGGCGCCCCCCAGGGGAGGCGCGCCTCACCTATTGAAAACCGCTGCCTTAAGCTATTCGGCATGGTACAACATTTACTCTACACACAAACCCCAGAATTAACCAGTACATAAAACAATTGCATGTAAAGGAAGTGAATACAATTAATGAACTTGTATGAATGTTCGTACATTTTATTTGTAAAACCACGCTTCCAACATAAACACTTGAAACAAAATATGATAATCATGAACATGTAACTGTAGATACATGTCATTAGCATTGAATTGACACAATTTCCATTGATTATAGGTCAATAACTTATGTAATACCACATTTAAACTACATTGTTGTGACCTCAGGTTGAGGTCTGTCCACATGCTGATCAGTGCTGCCCTCTACAGTAGTATAAGGACACTTCCAATATTCTGAGTCTAAGAAATTAGAAATATATATATATATATATATTTTTAAAGTAAATAAAAAAATAAAGTACAAGGCAAGTTTATTCTTTTTGACCACAAAAGCTCCTTTTTAGCTCCCTTCAAATCAATTAAATTGAGCTGTTTGTTTAGTCATCATCAGTTTGTAGGTCAGCATGTAGAGGGCTCAATAATTTTGTGAATACAAAATAAATGGTCTCACAAAAAAGGAATCAAAATGTAAATTTTAAACGTTTCTTTGTTCCTGAATAACTAAATTACTTGAGGTGTGTTTAAGCAAAACCAAAAAAAAGAATATTTGGATGTAAAAACTTTCTTAAAAATGACATTTATTTACTTTAGATTGTATGTAGTGTATTAGCATACAACCTTAAGAGTCTTTCTGACAGTTATATTGACCTGAGGCTTGCTTCTTTTAAAAAGCCATGATTGTCCATTGTGAACTGATGCATGACTTCAACCATCATCCTCACGCGGGTGCTGGGGACAGGAAAATGTTGAAAATGATAGCAAACAAGAAGAAGGCAATGTATCCCACAATGCACATCCAGAAGCGTGGGTCCTTGAGGAGTGCTTTATCGTAGTTGGTGAAAAAAACATAACCAATGGTCATGCCTGCTACACCACCACCAATATGGGCCACAAAAGAGACCTAACAAAAAAAAAGGAAAGTATGAAGGACCTTTCTAGTATATTATCATATAATGAAGTGTGAAAACTATATTCAGAGTGAATTCTTGTGGTAAGTCCTATTTATTAAGCTTGTAGTCTAAATCATTCTAGTTGAGTATTAGGTATTCTGGTTTAAATACCGGTTTCATTACCTGGTTTATGATTCTGCTATGGTCTTAAATGTCTTACCTTCATGGCAGTGTCATGGACAATGAACCTTCTGTAAATAGCAAATCCAACATCTGTTCCAACTGAGAAAAAAACAAAAAACATTTTCATGTCAATAGGTCCTAACAAAATGTTTGGTTTATCCAAACATTACTATTGGTATCTTTTTTGACATCTACTATTAGAGTGAAAAGTGAAAATGGACGCACCAATCAGAACAATTACCAGAATGCGAAACACTCCCACAAGTGGAATCATCTCCCTGAAATTCTATAGGAAAATTTTTTTTTTTATTTGGGTACTTGAGTATAGTATTTTCTATAAAAAGAAATATCCCATCAAATATTACTGGAAAGTTACTCACCACCACAGCATTCATGAAGTAACCTCCCATGAGGGCATAAACACCACCTGAAGCACCCACAAGAGCACTGAGAGGATCAAAGATGGAGCTGGCGAGAGAGCCTGAAAGAGGATCATACACAGACACACATTCCATGAGAATATGAAGAAGCAAAATTATAAAACAGTCAAATCTTAATATTTTTCAATTAAAACCATATCGTATCTAATCAGTATATTCTCATTAATGAGTCAATGTCCAAAAGTTTTGAATGTTACCATGTTCTCACTGTGCCATTACTTAATTTAACCCCTTTTTATCAATTAAAAAAAATGTAAAAGTTTTTAAGAACTACAGCAAAAACCAATGTGATGCAAGAAAAAAAATCAGTATTTTTGAGAAATTTTATTTGAATATATCAATTTATAAAAACATTAAAATTTAATTGATTTAATTAAATTAATTGAAAATGTAGACTATTTGGTCTATGAACCTTTGCTCTACAATCACATTAAGACCATCTGTTGTGTGTGTGTGTATATGCGGGCATGTTTATAAACAAAATGCAGCCCCTTTCCTGCGCTTACTACAACACACTTGTGTTGTGTGTGTATTGAAAGAGGCTAAATCTAACTAATAGATGTTCAAATAAATAAATAGCATAATTTCATGTGTATATCCAGTTCACTTTCGGAATAAAACAGACCTGAACACAAAAGGCGCAACAATTTATGGTTAACTGGTTATACTGTATCTCTTACATTTTTTGTTTAAAAAATAAATAAATAATTATGTGTATTTTGTCTTAAAGTTTCATCTTAAAGGTGCTCTATGTAACTTTTCTACTAAAATTAATCCTTTTTTTATTGCCTGTGTGTGAAGGGGTTGTAATCACACATTAAAATGATCCACTTGTCGAGTTTTGCTATTACCTCTGAAGGCCAGTATTCCTATTCCTATGTGAAGTCTCCGGGTCGGATTTACCGCGAAATCCAACGGATGTGACGTGCATGCGCGCTCCCGAGCCTCTCTCCTTATATACAGTCTATTGTAGAGGTCAGGGAGTTACGTCCGGTTAAAGGCGCACGTTTTTCGGCTTATATCTCAGTCAATCTTTGATCAATATTCCCAAGACTCTAATCGTTCGTAGTGCTGGACGGGGCCTTTCGAACGAGCCCACCCCCAAGGTCCAACTCGCCCGGCTGCCCGAGTAATAGCCGTTCGAAATCGGGGGTCCCAGCGAACGGCGATCCGGTAGGGGGCATCCCCGAGGCCCGCCACTCTAGCGTTCGGGCAAGGGTTCCCCTGGGACCTCCTCCCCGAATTTGAGCTCTCTGGGTCTTTGCGTTCCAGAGATACGAGCGATTTTCTTCTGAGATCGTGACGTCACCGGCGTCTGCAATTTTGCAGCGCGCCCGATGGTTTTCTGCTAATATCTCCGCGAAAACACCACCACAAACTATGGAACTTATATGGTTCTTTTCAGCTCGACTAGATGGTCCCAACGAGCTCGGTGCTCGCCGAATCCGTCAAGTATTCGCCGAGATATTTGCATAATAGACGGTATTGTCTATGAGTTCGAGCACGAGCGCTCTTGTAAAATTTGGTTGCAATCTGAAACATCACCACTAGAGGCCGCTAAAAGTTACGTAGAGCACCTTTAATAATAAAAAACTATGATTTCTTTTTTTTTTAAATGCAATAGTATTTGAAACAATATGCATTTAAAGAATAAACGTTGTTACTTTAGAGTTGTCACATAACTTGCAGTAACTGCAGTGCAATATTTGTTTGGATTGCAAACAATGTGAGATATTGCATACTGTATCCCAGTAAGAACTACTGAAATACATAAACCTACCTGCAAGGACCCCAGCCATATAGACCATGCCTACTTCAAAGCCCTTATGCACCAGCTCCAGGGGAATGCCAAGAAGAAGCTGCATTAACAGGTTTCCCAAGATATGCTCCACCCTAATTGAAGAAAAATCAAAGGTAGGGTAAGGTGAAAAAATTCATTAAAGGTAGGGTAGGCAATTTCAGAGAGTTTAGCAATAGCAAGCTATCTTTGAAAGCATAAGATCCCACCCTCCCTTTAGAGCGCTGTCCAAAGCCACGCCTCCTCCAAAACACATGAAAGCTCAAAGCCAGAGCAGAGTCTGCAAACCATCACGAGACACGGCGTTAAATTACCTTATGTTTCAAAGCACATAACTTTACCATAATAATGAATGTAAACAACTTAAAGAGCCCTGACTTGTACCACCTGACTGCCGCAGATTCACTTCAACATTGGTAGTGTTGACATAGAAACGCAAAATTCCGAGGACGGAAGTAGAACATCACAGGTTGCCATATTTTAATTACGGTAATCACATGGTGTGAACGCAGCATAAGCTCGTTGTTTTGGTTCAGGAGAAATTGTAAAAGGTGGTTGCTGTTTGTTTACGGCGCTCGGTGACTGTCTGTTTACAACTCTGCATAGCCTTTGTTTTAAAAAGTGGGTGGGACAGGTGTGTGTGTGTGTGTGTGTGTGTGTGTGTGTGTGTGTGTGTGTGTGTGTGTGTGTGTGTGTGTGTGTGTGTGTGTGTGTGTGTGTGTGTGTGTGTGTGTGTGTGTGTGTGTGTGTGTATATGTGTGTCTGAATGCTAAATCAGATAAATGTACAATAACAATTTTAGGAAAAAATAACATTACGATGTCTAGAAGTCAATTTCAATAGTAACGTTACATTGGGTTTAATTTGTCTTTTAATGAGATCTACTAATACATATTGTTGGCTTTTGCCAAGCGTGTCAGAGGTTACGGGTTCTAATCTGCACTCGTATCGTTTTTTTTTTTCTCATCAAAACCGAATATGTTCATCAGTGGTTAGTAGGGACATGTTTGTGTGCATTTTGTTTTGTGATTTCACTGGAATGGATAGAGAGTCTCCGCAACGGCATAAAGCGATAGATTGAAGCGCGCGTCTGAGTGAAGACTGTATCCGCGCCACTGATCGCAGCAGCAACGAGCGCTCAGCACCATAAACACATTTTAGCTCTAAATCGTCTCTTATTTAATAACAAACTAAATTAATGCTCTGCTAGTTAACTGGAGATATTTTATCTAGTTGTATTACGTACATTCGTGTCTCGAAATGTTTCAAAAAGTGGTGGGGACAATATCGACCCTGATAAAAAGTGGTGGGGACATGTCCCATCTGTTCCACCCGCAAATTACGCCTATGCGTTACAGAAAGCGCTGATGATGTGTGATGTCTGCACAAGCAGGGTGCGCGGATGTATGGAAATACACATGTTGATGAGCAGGTAGGACATCCTATATTTCATTCGGACCAAATGCAATGATTGGACAAACATTTTGTGGTTCTGAGACTTCCACAGAAGATACGCCTATATGTAAATCTATTATTGATTGTCATCAGGATGTGAAGAGAGTTTCAACCAGTATAACAAAAAGTGTTTATGAATAAGATTGCCTACCCTACCTTTAAATACCAATAATGTAAAGATAAAGAAAGATAAAATGTTATTAAATGAAAACAACATCGAAACTTTTCTAAAGACAGTCAGTTCCCTTCAGAAATACACTCATATAAAAACACCCGCACCGCGTTTTGACTTTAAAACGTGCAGTGCTCATGTTTATTCAACGATGTCAAAGCCGACCACAAAAAAACTTTCCAAAAGGCTCTGTTGATATTGTGAACCAATGTATGGGAAACAATATAATTTGACAGCTATCAATTATAGTTTAAACTATCCATCTTTACCGTCACGCTTAGTAACACATATGTGCCTTCACCACAGTGCAACAGTGAAAAGACCCTCTCAAACAGTGTCGCGCCGCAACGCCTTCTGATCGTTGTTAAAGCGACATACACCAGTATTGCGGTATATTAAAAATTCATATCATAACAAAAATAAAAAACGGTATTCGGTATGAACCGATATACCGCCCAGCACAGTGGAACAGGAGTTTAATAAACGTCACTAAAATTTACTTTTATTATTTCATTCATTCAGGATGACAAGGGGCTAAATAAATAGTTTTCATTGTAATTTTAAAATGAAGAAAAGGAGCCAAATCCCCTTACCCGGCATGTACAAACATGTAGGAGAGAAACCGCCATGCTTCCTCGCGTTGTTCGGGCTTATAGGTAAGAGGACTCTCCCAGATCCCTGTACCCAGGGTGATCCACTGCTTCTGAGGCTTCCATACCGCATAGTAGATAAACACTCCTAACTGTCAAAGATTGAAAAGAGTTTTGAGAGACAAGACCTAAAGTCTTCATTATGCCAATAACTGTATGCCAGTTGCCATAAAGCACTGTCAAAAACATGAACCCGTGTGTCAATGTCTCAAAAGGCCTTCATTTCTAGGAAAGAGAGTTTAGCAGTATTTAACTCATATTTAGGGACATAATTTTAGTAAAAAAATTATAGTAGTAGAGTATAGTAAGTAAAAAAAAAAAAAAAGACAGTTTTTAGTAAAAATTGTTATATAAAAAAAATGACTCACTAATGGAAGGTCTCCATTTTATTCATTTCCAAGACACTTATTTTCAGTGACTAGGTCTATTTTAAGGAATGTCCACGTTGGAAACAAGGATGAATCTGGCTTTTCAAACACTTTGGCTAAGACTTGCCATACAGGAATGGAAAGGTGGAAGGCGAAGCTCAAAAGGATCTCAGTTCTTTCATAGTGACACGTCCCAACTAAAACATTCACAAATGAATGGAAATGTACTGGTTGCTGCAGGTTTTTATAAAGAATGAAAATTTATACTAATGTTAATTAATTTATTAAACCAGTCTTAACTGTTTTCTGGTCTTTGTATTTGCAGTATCTGGTCACATAGGCTAGTCTGTTGGCTGGTGGTTTTAGAAGGGTTTTTAGCTGATTGGCCAATAGATCAGATAAACCATGCAGCTAAAGACCATCTTAAACAAGCAAACTTTAACTGGTTCAAGTGAGCAAGTAGAAACAGTTCAATTTATCAGATAGCCAGAAAGATCAAATTCCAGTGGTGCAAAGGTTGATGTTTCGCTAAAAAAACAACATTTGATTGTACCTCCGCTAAGCTGATGAGGATGATGAAGATTGGTGGCGGACAGCAGTTCGCTCGTTCCAAATACGTCTCCCGTAACTCCGCGGGAAGCATCCATTTAGAAACATTCGAATGTATCTTTTCTACCCTGCGACGACTCCTCTTCGGATTTGCTCGATTATCACCTTCTTCATCCCTCTGCACGGGAAAAGTGTCTTGCTCTTCTATGTCATTATCGCCCATTTCTCTTAAAAATGCAAATCAGAAAGGTCGTTTTTTGGATTAGCCTAATTGACAACGAACCAATAAATTGAAGTTTTTAATTATTTCATTAGGTTATCAGAAACGTGTTTTAGTAGGCTATCTTTGCAATTGCAGCAAAGCAAATTTAAAAGAAATCTAAAATGTATTATCAAAGCTATTTAGATTACAGCTGCACATGCTTTTTCAAACTCTCTTCCGGAGTTATTGGCTCTTCCTGCATAAACAAACTCATCCTGTATGGAATTATTTAAGAGGTGGGCTAGCCTTCTCATTTTAGAAACAACTTTATGAGAGAAAAAAAAATCTCTTGTGAGAGTGATTCATACATTGGGTGCTTTTTATAAGTGCTGTTTATGCCCAAAACTATTTTGAATAGATAATTTGCAAACATTAACTTACCCTTTCTTCTGATCCACCACCTCTCACGCGAGTAGCCTAGGCTACAAGAGATTTCTATAAGAGCGCGCCGACCAGAGCTCATTAATGTCGTTGGTTATTTGAAATTATGATAACAAAGTAATAAAGTCTGTTTTAAAAATTGTAAGATAAACAAAAATAGTTGTGAGACCACCACGGACTACTACAAGACGCTCTCCCTGGACGATAATTACAGGCTTCATCCAGCTTTTCCGGTTCCAGTCTTCCTTCCTCTTGTTCCTAACTAAAGGGTCTGCATTGCAGGATCGTTTTGCTTACTTTTGTTGAGCAAAAAAACAACCTCTGACCCGTCAAAGTATAGTAGACTCTTTACCTGAGCTTCCGCAAACCGCCACACCTGAAGTCACGTGATGCAATTCATTGAACATTTCGTCCAAATGAAAATACACGCAAAAACAAAACAAAAAAAACCTCGATATATTCTAAACACTGACAATTAACCAACCATAAATAGACAACATTTTTGAAAATACATAAAACTCATTCAAAGAGAATGGTAGCATCCTTCACGAGCACTAGATGTCGCCATTTCCAGTACAATCTACATTCAGGTTTCTTAGAGATAAATCAGACAAATAAAAATTCTGCTCATACTGGTTTTAAAACCTAACTGTTGTGCTGTGGAAATCATGTTACGTTTTTTCAAGAATCTTTCATGTATAGTTCAACTGAAAAGCATTAATTTGAAATAGAATCTTTTTTTTTTCTAACATTATAAATGTACTAAGTCATTTTTCTATGTAATGACAATAAATGGTGACCACATCATGACAAGCCTTTAAAAAAAATATACATTTAAAAAAATATTCCCAGTCTAAGCCAATTCAAAAGTTTTATATGAGTAACAGAATTATAAATGTTATTATGAAACACTCAAATGCTACAAGAATTACATTTCAGGTAAAAATGACTTCACACAAGGCTATCATATGACTCCAGAACAGTTTATGAACCTATGACCCACTTTCATGATGGTTTAACATGTAAGGTTTATCAACTTGTGAAGCATTATTAAATCCATGAGAGGAAAAAACTAGGACATTTTTAAAATGTCTTTGTGTTCCAAAGCAGAAAGCCATAAGTGGATGTTCTGTCATTAGCTACTCACATTCATGTCTTTCCAAACACTTGATATGCAACACAAACCTATGCAAATTCCTTCCAAATTATTTGCAAGAAAAAACAGAATCAATTCAAATGATGACTTATCACAGATCTTTTATTTGTCAAAAAAGAAAAAAAGTTGGAGTTAAAAAACAGACTGAAGGATAGAGGGAGAGTCTGGTATATCTGCTGAGGGTCAGTCACATTACATTAAACAGAGATCGCATCAGCCAAGCTTTTTTACAGCGGTAGTTTGACATATTTTCCCACAAATTCTTAGAGATTAAACTTCCTTAGAATGCATCTAGATATGCATGTTTGGAGTTGGGCCATCAGTAACAGTTCAGCAATAAAAATGAGTTAAATGTGGATAGACCATGGCACCCAAGCATTTTAAAGGGGAAAAAAAGATTCAAAAGTGGAAGGAGGAAATTTCAAATGAAACGAAGGGGACTGGTTCTATAGTAACCAGCTGCTGAGGGGTGGCTAGTACCATCTATAATCTTCTTCAAGACACATCTGAAAATAAAGAGACAATAATCAGCATTTGGATCAACTGAAATCAGCTAAATTATTTTTAACTGCAAAAAAAACAACAACATTATGACAGAATGTTAATTGCTTGCTTATAGAGGAAGTTAATATACTTACAGCTTGCAGGCCTGGCACCATATCTTCGCATAATCTGATCCTGTGTGAATTTCACGAAGGACTCATATTGTTCTTAAGGGGAAAAAGGAAGAGAAACGGCATGTTAAGAAAACCAGAAACATGACAATGTAGCATGGGGGTGATAAATATTGATCCTAATCAAAGAAATAGACCTTATGTCTATTGAGCTGCAACACTGTCTACACCGGACGCGGCCGTTATTGCTCGCGTCGCAACAGCGGTTTACCCTAGACGCGAAAAAGCGCCCGCTACAAAGCAGAATGGGGCATCAGTTTACTGTCGGAGATTTGTCGCTCGCGCAACTCATTTTAATCAACGTTTCATCAACCAATTGCCTGGATTTAATAAATAAGAAGTAAATTAGCAGACGATATAATCAGGACTTTTCAGCTGCACGCTTTCCCTAGTCATCAAAAGTTTACACAATACGTGACAGAGGCTGGTAGCAGAGAAATCAATTCTGTGAATTAAACTGCGCAAATCAAAAGTAATAGGCAACTACCAACCGGATGAAGAAGGGTTGGCTCTCAACAGAACAAAATATTCATTTTATTTTATATGTTCGCATTTATGAGGAAAAAACTATGTTACGGATGTGACAAGCTCTGAAAGCGGCACTAAAGTGCTTTAAAACTTTCACATAGACCTCAAACAGAAAGCACTAAGCCTTTCATTAAAGTGAATTTCGTTTTGTATTAATTGTATCTTAATTTTAATCAATGTTTCATAAACCAATTGCCTGGATTTAATAAATAAGTAGTAAATATAGCGGACAATAGATAATCTCGACACGGAGGCGCCGGCGCGTGACCTGCAACTTGTCTCAAATGAACCGAAACTCAGCGTATAGACCTGAGAAATATATCTATTGAAATGTTTACTTTTAAACAGAACAATTCAAAACGAAAGACAGACTGCTCTCTGCTGTAATCCGTATGAAATGTGCATTTCTCTCTGGCGTGCTCACTGAAGATCGCGAGTCAGCGTTGTCAACTTTGTAGCGACACTGACTGAAAACACTTGTTTATTAATCAGTCCTTCCAGAAAAACGCGGAGTTTTTTTGTGATTGTTGCGGGCAAAAATCCTTGATTATGCGGCCCGTTTTCTTTAAAAATGCGATGGAATATGCGGAATATTTATGCAATTTTTTGCAATGAAATTGCGGGAACTTGCAAAAACTGCGCTTTGATGAAAAAGAGAAAAAAAGTGATTCCCCCAACACCCTGTTCTCACTAGGCTACTACCTTAATGTAAAGAGTCCTTTCTTATTACTTCCTATGATAAGCAAGCATATACATCACAGAAAGTGCTGGAATATTTAATTTCTCATTTTTTTTTATTTTAGACTGTAACGAGTGGAAATAAGGTGTGGCCCCTTTAAGAGCTGCGCGCTCCCTGTTGAACTGTCTGCAGTATTATATTGTATGTGCCATGCGCCTCGAACACCCCATGTGTGCGGGTAATTTCTGTTTGATGCTACTTTTATCTTATTTTGTTTATTAAGTAACGATGTGGACGGTAGAACGTGTGACAGACAGTTACGAGTTCGATTTGGGAATAAAGTGCGAGTTGTGAGATGCCAATCGCCTCTGTGAGTCTGTCTGGCCTCTGCAATAACTTCAGCTGTGAGCTATCCCTATTTTTCTTCCCGACACAACGTGTTACAAGACCTTAATAAACACATCAAACTTACAAAACATTGCTGAGTCAAACAAGTTATGTAGCTTTTTTTTGCTCAAGAAACAGGGTTTGGATGAAAACGGTCTTGATAATTATCGGCCTATCTCTAAGCTTTCATTTTTGTCTAAACTTTTAGAAAAAGTTGTATATTCACAATTGATCTCCTTTTTGAATGCAGCTAAACTAACAGAACCTCTTCAATCTGGTTTCTCTGCCCATCATAGCACTGAGTCTGCTTTGCTTAAAGTATTAAATGACATTTTGCTTGCAGCGGATAGTGGTAAAAATTCAGTTCTGCTGCTTCTTGATCTTACAGCTGCATTTGATACAGTTGATCATGATATTCTTCTCTGCCGGTTAGAAAATTTGTTTGGTATTCGTGGTATCGTTTTGCAGTGGTTTAATTCATATCTTAGAGACAGGTTTTTTTTTCTGTTGAGTTGGGTAAGTTTTCTTCGTCTGTTGCTCCTATTATCTGTGGAGTGCCTCAAGGATCCATTTTAGGGCCACTCCTTTTTAATTTATATATGCGACCTTTGGGAGACATTATTAGGAGACATAAAGTTGCATTTCTTCTATATGCTGATGATACCCAGCTGTACATACCTTTGAAAGCTGGCGATACCATTCAACCCTTATTGGCCTGCTTAGGGGACATTAAAAATTGGCTTTCCAACAACTTTCTTAGACTTAATGAAAATAAAACGGAAGTAATCGTCTTTGGCCCCTCTAAGTCAAGAAGTTGTCTTGTAAATGAGCTCGGCAACCACTTCCCCTCAGTCTCCTCCCAGGTCAGGAATCTTGGTGTCATTATGGACTCTGAACTCTGTTTAACTAAACAAATTAATGCAGTTGTCAAAAACAGTTTTTATCAGTTACGGATAATTTCGAGACTGAAATCATTTTTAAGTCTTAATGATCTGGAGAAAGTCATTCATGCTTTTATTACTTCACGTCTCGACTACTGCAATTCATTATACTTGGGTCTTCCTCAGTCATCCATTGCACGCTTACAGATGGTACAAAATGCTGCTGCTAGGTTGTTGACTGGGGCAAAGAAAACAGATCACATTACACCGGTTTTGGCCTCTCTTCATTGGCTTCCTGTCTATTTCAGAATTCAATTTAAAATTTTGTTGTTTGTTTATAAAGCTCTCAATGGTCAAGCTCCGTCTTATCTCTCAGATCATCTTATTCCCTTTTCATCCTCCAGATCATTAAGATCTTCTGATAGAGCTCTCTTAGTTGTCCCTCGTTCACACCTAAAGACAAAGGGTGATAGGGCTTTTTCTATTGCGGCCCCCCGACTCTGGAACCAACTACCAATGGACATTCGTCTTGCAACGTCTATCACAACCTTTAAAATGAAGTTGAAAACTTATTTTTATTCCCAGGCATTTTAAAATTTTTATGTTTCATTGTTTATTGTATCGTATGTGTTGTTTATTTCATTTTATTCTTTGACTTTGTTCAGCGCTTTGGTCAGCTTTGCTGTGATAAATGTGCTATATAAATAAAATTTTACTTACTACTTACTTACTTACTTACTATGTAGCTTTACTAGAGGAATATGCTACAACTTCAGTAAAAATGAATAAATTAAATTTAAAAAATAAAGTGTGCTCCTGTTTTACAGCTTTTCGATGATGTTCACGTCGCGTAATTACGTCACTTCATAACGTTCCCATGACAACAGGGGGAAACGGCTGCTCTTGTGTGAAGCAAACGCAACATTTTCCAACTTTCTGCTAAGATATATGTGACTTTTTTACGACGAAAATGCAGGGGTTATGAAATCATGCAAGCCCCGCATATTTTGCGCGGAAATCAGCAATTTATGCGGCGAAATTGCGGAGTATTTAAAAA